CCAGGGAGCGGCGTGAGCTTCCGCTGTCAGCCCTAGCTTCTGCCAACCTAGCAGTTCGAAAACATGCAAATGTGGGTAGATCAATAGGTACCACTCCGACGGGAAGGTAACGGCACTCCATGCGGTCATGCTGGCCACATGACCTTGGAGGTGTCTATGGACAACGCTGGCTCTTCGGCTTAGAAATGGAGATGAGCACCACACCCCAGAGTCAGACATGACTGGACTTAATGTCAGGGGACAACCTTTACCTTTACCTATGGTTTTATGTCCTGGCACTAAATGTTTTCAATATATATGTTTTTTACATAAGTAAATAAATAGATAAATAAATAAATAAATTTCTATCACTAACCACTCACTTTTGCCTTTTGGGAAAGGAGGTTAGCGGTACATCCAGTGCTTACTGAGTTTTTTCCTCAGGGAGACCGTTCCTTTACTTTCCAAAAATTGACCAGGGAACGAAAAAGTTCCAGCCGTTAGAGCTACTTTGCTAAAGAAGCCGTAATTTGTTTGCTGATAGCCAGGGAAGTATCTGGGAGTCTGCTTTTCACAGAGGGATTTGTGAGTGGGGCTGAAGGAACATGAATCCTCCCTGCTTCTCTTGTCCCAGTCAAATTTCTGACAGTGCTTGATCAAGAGAGGAAAAAAATCAGTGGGTGGTGTACTAACCCCCTTTTCCCAATCTCTAATTCACTATGCAAACACAGGTGTTCCAAAACCCACACAAATTTGAAAACCAAGACAGATATGGTCCCAAACATTTTACTGACTGACTAGGATATCATTTCATCATAATTGTATATTAGGTTTTTATTGTGATCTCAATCAGTCAAAGAATAATTTTGTTGTGTTGTCAAAGGCTTTCATGTCCAGAATCACTGGGTTACTGTGAATTTTCCGGTCTGTATGGCCATGTTTCAAAAGCATTCTCTCCTGACATTTCGCCCACATCTATGGCAGGCATCCTCAGAGGTTGTGAGGTCTGCTATAGATGTGGGTGAAATGTCAGGAGACAATGTTTCTGAAACATGGCCATGCAGCCTGAAAAACTCACAGCAACCCACAATAATTTTGGTTGAAAATATCTTTTACAAATAACATTGCACGTGGCATGGAGATAGGGGAATGGAGAGAGATTTAGGTTGTAAGTACAACATTCAGAAACAACACAAGAAATCTACCATGTAGGTCTGTTTAAAAAAAAGACAGGAGGGTATCGGTTGGTTAAATAAATACTTTTCTAGTTTTCCAAAAACAAATAGAAATCTCAGATGGGGAAGATGCAAAAGCCGTTGCCTCCTCTCAGCAAACACACAGTAATTTATCATACACCGACATATTTGGAAACTTTAGCAGGTGCTAGTTTTGCAAGGTGATGAGGTTAACTACCAAAGTTGTATGTAACTTGGATCTTGAGCAGCGTAATTAATCAAGAAATTAGATTCCTCTCCTCTTCTCCAGCCCACATGGAGTGCTGAATGTGGCACGCCAGACAAAACAACAGCAATGGAAGGAAAATATTTGTCATAAAAGCTTATTGAATAAACATGCTAGATCTGTAAAAACGATTCCACTCTTAAAAAGCAAAGAGCTTAAAAAAGCATTTTATGTTATAAATCAAGTTTTATTATGCTGTGGAAAAAAGGGAGGCAACAACTGGCTAGGACCACTGTCTTATGTCTGATTTCAAATTGTGGTATGTTTTTACATGCTTTTGTGTAACTTTACAAAAAGTTCTTTATTTGCATCTCTTTATGCCTGCATTTTCCACTATATTGATTTAAGAGAGAGAGAGAGAAAGAATGGAGGGAGGCAAGAAAAAGACATATATCTGAAGGATTCATTTATTACTCTCTTTGATGCTTTATTAAATAAAATGTTTTTATTTGGTTGAATTCTCTGGTTTTATTATAGGATTGCTCACATTCTGTCATACAGAAACAACTTCTCGATAATTTGTAGTTCTTTTACATTTATTGTAAACCTTTTTTCTAATATAAAATTGTATCTTGACTCCATCAACATAAACATTATTTCTATTCAAACATTAAAAAATAAAGAAGGGAAATGGCAATTAATATGAACTGAATGTCAAATATTACGGTCAGATCCTGTGCTTTTTGAAAATGGAGTTTTGATGAGGAAGTGATTTGTTTGCCCACAGTTAGTATCATAGAATTGGAAGAGATCTCATGGGCCATCCAGTCCAACCCCCTGCCAAGAAGCAGGAAAATTGCACTCAAAACACCCTCTAACAGATGGCCATCCAGCCTCTGTTTAAAAGCTTCCAAAGAAGGAGCCTCCACCACACTCCGGGGCAGAGAGTTCCACTGCTGTATCTTTGCATTTCATTTTTTCTGCCTAAGTGGAGTATCTTGCATTTCTGGACGTGATGGCTTGACTCTTTTGACCTGAAATCTGAGACAGCTTTGAGAGCTGGGGCATATTGTGTAGTATAACAATTCACACATGCAATAAAAAATGAGAAAAGGAAAAGAAACAATGGAATAAAATTGTGGGTTAAGGAATACATGTCTTCTTGTGAAATCCTACCTTTTGAAATCCCCTATTGGTATTTTTTCCCCAAAAGCATTGTGTTTTGGTTTAAAATTTGTTCTCAGAGAAAGAAATAGGTGTTAGGTAGTATTATGACACTGAGCACCACTACAGTCCTATTTTTCTCTCATGTTTAGGAAAAATAAATTCAATATTGCGCTCTGTGACCCCCACTCTGTTTTCAAAAGGTTATCATAAGGATTTAGCTGCTAAAAATAAGATGTTATTTTTGCAGGTAGATCAGGAAAGGGGCAGGGCAACCAGAACATACAAATGTAGCTTGTATGCCTGAACATTATAATTAACAAAGCCGATCATTTTAGTTTGTGACTGACATGTGACATCTGTGCTTTTATTTTCTCCCCACCCATAGCATCCAACAGTCAAGATACTAAGAGAGATTGGCATTTTGGGGACACAAGCGTACCAATATCTGTATAACTGCTGAATGTTATATAACTCAGTGTTAGTTTTATTTGACCTTATAAATAGATTTTCAAATTAAATAATAACCTTCCTTGATGATGTCTTAGGCAGGAACCATATATATGGGAGTTAAGTCTTATTGAACTCTGTGAGACTTATTTTTGAGTACTTCTGCATAGGATTACATGGTTAGGGCACATTCAGACTGATTAAGAAAATCCATATTTTGTTCCTGTTTTACTGATTATAGTAAAGGTAAAGGTTTCCCCTTGACATTAAGTGTAATAGAATACAACTCTGGGGAATGGTGCTCATCTCCATTTCTAAGCCGAAGAGCTGGTGTTGTCCATAGACACCTCCTAGGTCATATGGCCAGCATCACTGCATAATCCCTGTTACCTCCTGCCAAAGCGGTACCTATTGATCTACTAACATTTGCACGTTTTTCAACAGCTAGGTTGGCAGAAGCTGGGACTAACAATGGGAGCTCACCCTGTCCTGAAGATTTGCAATGCCAACCTTCTGGTCAGCAAGTTCTGCAACTTAGCAGTGTAACTCGCTGCACCACTGTGGCCTCTGATTATACTAGGTCAAAAATAAACTGTCAAGGGGCATTCATCTAAAAAGCCTCCGGTTGTATTAACAAAAAATATTCCGGATTAAACAAAATGTGAATGAATCTCCTAAAATTGGAAAGAACAGAAACAAAATATGGCCCTTCCTGTCTTTTTAATAGGTCTGGATCTATCCTCAATTTGCAAGTCTATGCCTGCTTAGTTATTTATTATTTATTTACCCTATTTATATCCCACCTTTCTCTACCCCAAAGGGGACTCAAGGCAACTTTACATACAGGCAATTATTCAGTGCCTTTGGACAACATGTAGTTAAAATACATTTAAGTCAAAATTTAAAATTAATGCACATTAAAACATATAGAAACATTGCATTTACTATTAAAATCACATCAACCATAATTGTAATCCGGGCCCATTCCAGAAATCATTGCACATATTCCGTAGCTGTTATTGCACTATAGTTAATCTCCAGTTGGGAACAAGTCTTACTGAACTGTTTAGTTGTTGTTGTTCATTCGTTCAGTCGTCTCCGACTCTTCGTGACCTCATGGACCAGCCCACGCCAGAGTTCCCTGTCGGCCATCACCACCCCCAGCTCCTTCAAGGTCAGTCCAGTCACTTCAAGGATGCCATCCATCCGTCTTGCCCTTGGTCGGCCCCTCTTCCTTTTGCCTTCTACTTTCCCCAGCATAATTGTCTTCTCTAGGCTTTGCTGTCTCCTCATGATGTGGCCAAAGTACTTCAACTTTGTCTCTAGTATCCTTCCCTCCAGTGAGCAGCCGGGCTTTATTTCCTGGAGGATGGACTGGTTGGATCTTCTCTCAGTCCAAGGCACTCTCAGAACCTTCCTCCAACACCACAGTTCAAAAGCATCGATCTTCCTTCGCTCAGCCTTCCCTAAGGTCCAGCTCTCACATCCGTAGGTTACTACAGGGAATACCATGGCTTTGACTAGGCGGATCTTTGAGTCTGATGTCTCTACTCTTTACTATTTTATCAAGACTGGACATTGCTCTCCTCCCAAGTAGTAAGCGTCTTCTGATTTCCTGGCCACAGTCTGCATCTGCAGTAATCTTTGCACCTAGAAATACAAAGTCTGTCACAGCCTCCACATATTCTCCCTCTATTTTCCAGTTGTCAATCATTCTTGTTGCCATAATCTTGGTTTTTTTGATGTTTAGCTGCAACCCAGCTTTTGCGCTTTCTTCTTTCACCTTGATTAGTACTAACATTAAATACTGGAAACGCTTTATATACTTTCCCTGTTTGTGCTCAGCTTTTCAATTTGCTGATCTAAAAGTCAACATAATAATCATAGAAACATTTACGGAAAAGTATGATGGTTTGCAAAACCTATACCTATTGTAGTTGCATTTACTATTTCTCCTTTACTATATACTATAATAAATATTTCTGCTTTCCCCCACCTCCTTGCAGTTCCCCATCCCCAGAAGCAATTGGCATACAATACTTCGAAAGCCGGTGTTGTAAAGTTAACTCAGACACTGGGGACCGAGTGGATCAACAGAGGAGTGAGAGTGAACTGCATTTCTCCGTAAGTAAAATATAGGAATGTGTACAAATTCTGTTACTTTTTAAAAAAAAGAAATTTCCTAATTTCACAATAGAAACGGAAAAAAAACTCGATATTTAAAATATATAGAATGTGGGAAACATTAAAACTGCAGATGAGTCTAAATGTCTTTGTTCGTAAAAGTCTGTCTTTGAATCCCAGAGATTCAGTTAAGTTTGTGATAATGGTTTAAGGTTGGCATCTCTTTTTGGTCTGGTGGGTTTCTCATTTGTTATAGCTCAGGAGGACCCTTCCACACAACCCTATATCCTAGAATATCAAGACAGAAAATCCCACAATATCTGCTTTGAACTGGGTTATCTGAGTCCACACTGCCATATAACCCAGTTCAAAGAAAATAATTTGGGATTTTATACAGCTGTGTGGAAGGGATCATAGTAAGGTCCTCTATGTACCTTGAACTTGTGTAGGGCAGAATATTTTTCCTTTTCTTTTTGATAGGACTTTACAAAAATCTGGACATTTTTTCTTAAACTGTACAAATAGAAGTTGACGTCTCAAAAACTCCCCATGTGGGAGACAGCAAAATAGATAAATTAATTCACACTTAATGATATCACCTTTTCTAAGCAGAGAGAAAAACAAGATAATACAAATTAAATAAAATCTTTAGCTGAGGATAATGTAGCCAAACAAAGTTGTGAATTAGGAAAACTTGCATTCTTTAAAAAAAATTCTGTCAGCCTACCGCAAGTATAATCACTTATCAGAAAGCCACCCCTATCGCTGCATACACTTAGGGATTTTGAAAAGATTCTATCATTTGATAACAGGTTTTCTAGTTGTGTGAAGGGTGGTTTTTAACATTTCTTTTCCAGATGAAATATTTCCTTACTACTGTCCAATTCTTCTGTGGTTAAAGAAAAGACTTTTGACACTTAATAGACAATGCTTTCCCCCACCCCCCAGTCTCCCCACCTTTTACCTTAGACAAATATATAGGCAGTTTAAAAGGCACATTATGCCACTATAATTGAGGTACTGTTCAGGAGTAGCAATTACAGGATACCTAGGTATTATTTTGTTTCTAAAAAAATATATTCATTACAAATTACATTTTACCTAATTTTTGAAGGCTTAAAGATGAGAGTTCTTGAAAATGGGAAAATATAACAGGGTTTTTTTTTTATCCCACAGTCCCCATTCTACAGGGCTTTCATTGGGAAAGGACTGTAACCCCACAACCCTATGAATGTGTATTTTGACCTGTTTTTAGATGTCTTGGTACCTTTCTTTGGTGCTTCTTACCTTAGAATATAAAGTGGATCTTTGGTATCCACTGTGGTTTGGATCCAAGACAGCATGTGGATACCAAAATCCATAGATACTCAAGACCCGTTAGGTACAATGGCAAAATTAAGTGGTGTAAAGTTTCCTAAAGGCAAAGGTTTCCCCTGACATTAAGTCTACTCATGTCCAACTATGGAGGGTAGTGCTCATCTCCATTTCTAAGCCGAAGAGCTGGCGTTGTCTGTAGACATCCCTAAGGTCATGTGGCCAGCATGACTGCATAGAGTGCCATTATCTTCCTGCCAAAGTGGTACCTATTGAACTACTCACATTTGCATGTTTTTGAACTGCTAGGTTGGCAGAAGCTGGAGTTAGTGGTGTACCTTGTATAAATTTAAAGTTTGGTTTTGGGAAGGGTTTTTTTGGGGGGGTGGGGAAGGATACTTTCAAGCCATGGATGGTTGAATCCGTGGATACAAAATTCATTGATTTGGAGGACCAACTGATATGTCATTTAGCATTCTTAAGAGCAAAGGGCACTGGGGGCCTCTTTACACTACTCAATAATAACCCTATGATTCTCAATTTACTGGCATGGTTCTAACCCTTGCAATCCTAGGATTTGCAGTTTAGGGAAATGCATTTAATACTCAGCCAGAAAGTTCTATGCTTCACCAAACTGCAAACCCCAGTATAGTGCTAAAATTGTGTAGTATGAAATGGGCCTAGGACTAGTATTGGAGGCTAATAGTGATATTGTGGGTGTACATATATCACATAGTTCTCAGAGAATTCCTCTAAACCACCCAGTAGAAAACTCTGTGAAAATCTTGCTGTTCTATTATACTTCCCAAAATGATTTCTCAACTGTAAGGAAATGTTTTTTGACCCGGAAATAATTAATACAAAATATATTTTCCATCCTTATCTTCTTCTTCCACATATGAGGAAGAGGAGGGAGAAGGGAGGGAGAGGAACAACAGAAAATTTGGTCCCTCTCATACCCCCCACTCCCCAAGTGATGTATAGTGTGTGGGGTCTCTTTAGCCTTAGGTTTGACCCCGTAATGCATGGGCTGACTCGGAAGCCTTCATCTAGCAGTAGATTACAGTGCAGGATACGGTGTAGTGCCCTATACAATTCCAAAGACTATTTTCCTACCCAGATCCAGCCCTCCTATTTTCTCTGGACCACCCTCTTCCTGCGGGAAAATGAATAAATTGTCTCTCTTTGAAGCTTCCTGGAATCTTCAAGGGTGATTACTCACCCTTTCAATAAATGGCAAGATCCAGAAATATTGACTACTCCGTCTGCTTCTTTGCTTTTGTTTTGGGCATAGGTGGTAATGACTTCTCCCTTCAAATGAGAACAGTGCTAATGTGAGAATTTTCACAGGTGCCCCCATCTTTGGGATGAGGCACTTTATGAGAGTTGATGACTTGGCTCTCCTCACCTTCTGAGGATGGGGCTACTTTGTGAATGTCTACAGAGTAGCCCCAACTTCATGAGGCATGAATAGTGTGGGTGGTGATGACTTGCCCTTCTTCGCTCACAACCTGAGGATGAGGCTTCTATCTGAATGTTCATTGGGCACCCCCATCTTTGGAAGTTGAGTATGATGTGAGTGGTGATGACTTGGCTTCCTTCAGCTCACGTCCTGAAGGTGGGGATGTTCACAGGGCGTCCCCATCTTCAAAAACTGAATGTGGTGTGGGGGATTAGTCCTCGCCTCTCCCTACTTCCTGCCGATGGGGATGCCATGTAAATGTTCCCATGGTAGCCCCAACTTTGGGAGTTGAACACAATAGTATGAGGTCATGAATAATGTAATGTCAAACTGGCAAGTGTGTGTGTGTGTGTGCATGTGTGTGTGTGGAATGGATGGACTGTAACCTCAATGGCAGCATGTAGTAATGAGGTGAAGTTAGACTAAGGTGCAAAGTGATTAAGAGAGGTTTCCACTGAATTGTGCAGCATTACAGAATGTCACGTTAAAACTTCTTTAAGTAGACTAACTAAATCTCCAGAAAAGTATGTTGGAATGAATCTAGTAGGAGATGTTGTTGATAAAGATGTACGTCTTTGGTTATTACTTTCTTTCACACAAGAGTAACTAATTTTAAAAGTTTTCTCCTAACTGGGTAAATTCATGAGAATTTTATATATATTTGAAGATTTTCCATACTTTGGCCTTTTTTGTGTGGAAAAAGGCAATTTGTGTAAAAAAAAAGTTTGTTGTACAACCCTCACTCTTTAACCAGAAAACAACATTTTGCACAGGAAAATATATTTTACACCAAATGAAACTATTTTCTGCACAAAATGTTGTTTCTGGACAAAACAATTACCATCAAAACCATCATTTATACTCAATGCACTTTCAGCTCTTGTGTTAACACATAGCTGAAAAAGCTTTTGTGAGAATGACTGCATACTACAAATAAACTATTCAAGCAAAAATGGTTTCAAAAATTCCTCACTAATCTGGATTAGTACAAGCTGCAGGAGATCTAGGCTGCTGATGATCTCAATCTAGGATGACTCTCAACACTGAGGAGGGCAAAACGTTTTTGTGTAGAGAAGGAATTGGCATAAAAGTACACTAGAGGGAAGAACTAAGCACCACTCTATCACTCAAAGGCATCCCAATTAACCAGCATTACCATCCCCATTAAGCAACAGCAGTTGCTCTTAAATATCTCTGGGCTTATATCTAGTTTCTTGGGAGCTGTCCCAATTAAGTGGATTGTACTGATTAAACACTTCCTGGGTAAATGAAGTGTACTTAAATCATTCAAATTAATAACTCATCTGAAAGAAATCAACTTATACACCAATGGCATTTCCCTTTTCCTCCCACCCCCATCCCCACGATGGGAGATGAACACATCTAACAATTTCACTGGAGTGGGTAACAAGTGGTACACTTAAACACACAACAACACCATCTCATGCACACATTGGTATGATACAGGTATTGTCAAAGGCTTCTCAAGTCTTAAATCAGCCTGTGCATCGGAAGCAAAATGTCAGTTCTGCATCTCCCACTAAGGAACCTACAGTGTGATACACCATTGCCAAACAACAGCATTGCATTCCTAACATGGCAGGGAATTAATGCATTGGCACTTGTCACTGTTCAGAATGGTTAAGAGCCAACAAAAAAATTGCCTAAAAGGGTTTTTCCATCTCCAGCATTAAATTGCCCATCTTTGGCACCAAGCCTTTTTCAGAAGCAGTGTGCAGTACTGGAGAATGTCTCATATTTATAGAACAACTTGAAAATGTGTTTTCAACCATATTGTTCTTTGTTCGGTTACTGTTCACTATTGATTACTATTTTGAAAAAGGAACAAGCCCAAATGATGTTATCTTTCAAATAAAACTTGGATTTCTCATGCCCACCATGGCATAAATAAAGATCTGATTTCAAAAATTTGACCATATGAGGTGTGAATAAGTCATAGAATTCAGGCAATGGCTACTGCTTTCTGCAGGGCTGCTGTATGATGAATGCTATGCCCCAGAAGAAGCAAAAATCAGTGGTTCTGGATAGCATCTCCCACTGACTGAACTAGCTAGGGCTGCTGGGAGTTGCAATAACATCTGCATGATTCTGGCCCATGCCAGTGGGATGGTAGTAGCAGCTGGATATTCATTTATTTTCCCCCTGGGATAAAAGGTTTGCATAAAATTGTTAAAAGACACAGAGATATTTTTAAAAAACCAAA